CGATAGACTGGATAAAGAAATTATGGGATATGTACTCTTTAGAATACTATACTGCAGTAAGAAACAACGAAATCCAGTCATTTGCAACAAAATGGAGGAATCTGGAACACATCATGCTGAGTGAAGTAAGCCAGTCCCAAAGGGACAAATACCATATGTTCTCCCTGATCGGTGACGACTGACTGAACACCAAGAGGGAAACCTGTTGGAGTGAGGTGGACACTATGGGAAATGGTGGCTTGATCAGCATGGCCCTGAATGTTAATGAACAACTTAATACATTATCCCTCTTAGTAGTTTTTTTATCTGTTCTACTTAATATGACTGGTTTAGATCTGTAATTGATGCACAGTTATTCTTAAGTGTTGAAAATTAACTGAAATGTGATCCCTGTTGAACATGGTGGTGGGAATGGGAGAGGGAAGAGATGTATAATTTGGGACATGCTCAGGCTGACTTGCCCCAAGTGGTGGAGTTGGAAGCATACCAGGGGATTCCAATTCAATCCCATCGAGGTGGCATGTACCAATGCCATCTCACTGTTCCAGGTGATCAGTTTCAGTTCACAGTTGGTCATGGTGAAGGGACTGGGAGTCTAAGGGAGCACATAGACAAGTCTAGTACCTCCTAATGCTAACTGATGGAGTAAATAAAGGGGAGAGTGATCCAACATGGGAAGTGAGATACTCAGCAGACTCATAGAATGGCAGATGTCCTAAATAGCACTCTGGCCTCAGAATCAGCCCTAAAGGCATTCAGAGCTGGCTGAAGAGCTCATGAGAGTATTTCAGGCATGGAAAGCCAAGACACTGTGGCAAAAGATCTCTGTGAGTGAGATCCCAGTGGAAAGAACAGGTCATCAAAGAAGGAGGTAGCTTTCTCTGAAGGGAGGAGAGAACCTCCACTTTGACTATGACCTTGTCTAAACAAGATAAGAGTCGGAGAACTCAGAGGGCTTCCATAGCCTTGGAAACTCATGACTGGAGCATAGGGAGATTACTGATGCCATAGACAGGAGTGTCAATTGGTAAAGTCAACAACAGGAGTCACTGTGCACTTACTCCTCATGTAGGATCTCTATCCTTAATGTGCTGTGCATTGAGATTTAATGCTATAACGAGTACTCAAACAATATATTTCACTTTGTGTTTCTATGGGGGTGCAAACTGTTGAAATCTTTACTTAATGCATACTAAACTGATCTTCTGTAAAAAAAAAAAAAAAGAAAAGAAAAAAAGAAATTATCAATTCCCAACTTGACTCTCACTGGGATTAAACATGACAATAGGTCTGCTCTGATTTCATCATCATTTAAAAAAAAATCATCTATTATTTTTCACTTTATGTTTCTGTGTGGGAGCAAACTGTTGAAATCCATACTTAATGTATACTAAGCTGATCTTCTGTATATTAAGATAATCGAAAATGAATCTTGATGTGAATGGAAGGGGAGAGGGAGTGGGAAAGGGGAGGGTTGTGGGTGGGAGGGACGGTATGGGGGGGAAGCCATTGTAATCCATAAGTCGTACTTTGGAAAATTATATACATTAAATAAAAGTTTAAAAAAAAAAAAAAAAAAAAAAAAAAAAGAAATCTGTGAACATACAGAACATGTTAGATAACCCTTCTCTTTGAGATAACTTCTTTTACTATTGCATCTTCCACTCTCTCGGGATGCTAGCACTTTGATCTTCTGACAGATCAGGAGTTCTTTAACCTGAAATCCTCAGATCAAAAAGGGCCAAAGATAGAATTCAGCAGGTCTGTGTAACACCTATGACTTTGTCACAAATAAAATTCACAGATATTTCATATCACGTTACAATCGTTACAGATATTTTGAAATATCATCATCGTCATCATGATGTTTAAAATTGTAGACCTACTGTTAGATCCTGGAATTTAATGCACTGATCAAGGCTTGCCTGTTTTATTCTAAATAACAGCAATAGCCAAGCGCTTCTGTGACCGTGGAGCCAGCAGGGGAAGCAGCGAATCACGGTGAATGAAAACACCCACGCCCAATCAAAAAGGACTCAGTGGCTACGGGATGCACCGGGGATAAAGGAAATCCTCCACCAATCTCTCCCCAGACCTCCAAATAACGAGCATTTGGGTCCAAAGTGAGGCTTCCAGGCACTTCCCCGGCCACCCTTCTCCAGGAACCAGCAAGAGGCCCCGGAGCTGCCCAGTCCTGCAAGGCCAGCTTATTCCGGTCACACCCTACGCGAGGAGGGGGCTCCCACAGTGTTCTCCTCCCTCTGATCACAACTTGCCTCAGCAAGCGCTAGAGGGCAGCAGCGAGCCGAGCTTCCAGGGAGCCCTCGCTGCTCCTGGATGGACCGCGGGACCTGTGGCCTCCACTCGGGATCCCTTTGTTCACCGACTCACAGGTGCAGTTAGGAAGTAGATGCCGGTCATCTGAAAGCACGTGCCTCTAGTGGTGGCTGTGTCCCCGGGAGCTGCTCAGCGGACACACTTGTCTGAGACGATGAAGCAGCTCGTATGTGTCGGAATGGACTGGCCCTCGAAAGTAGGACCACTCGCGCTGATAATCTTCGCTGCTGTGTTTATTTTGCGTTTTTGCCGTCTCTCCACCCCCAGCCCTGACTCCAAAGCCCTGCAGAACGCTCAGTTCACCAGCAACCCCTGGGACCGCCGCACGGAGGGAGCTCCGAGAATTTCTGCTGCGCGAGTGAATCGAATGGCTTGCGAGGCCCATCTGCACTGTGCTCTATCCCATGTTAGCATTGCTCTCACCGCTGTGCAGATAAGAGGAAAATGCCAGCCCGTAGCTGTGTTAAGTCATACAACGCCAAGTCAGCGTGTCAGGGAAGGCGCTGGAAGACAGCGCAGCCCCACTGCTAGCTTTGCCATCGTCCCCTCCCCCGCTGCGGGGGGGGGGGCAGTAGACACGGGCAGGGAGCGGGTCTCGGGGACTTTTAGCCTCTGAAGCTCTTGTGTGTCTGCCGAAGCCCTTGAAGCTGCAGGTTGTTAAGATGAGGGCAAACTGAACGACGATCCTTCGGACCCGAAATGATTTTCCAAGTGAATTTCCAAGAAGAATTCCAGCATGTTGGACCCTCCTAATCACCCACCGGGGTCTCCAGCATTAGGAGTTTCTCCAGCATTCAACTTCGCATAAAGTTTCCTAACATCCCTGATTTGAAAACTCTGATGAAATGTGCTAATAGGGCCACCATAGTGCCCCTCCACCCCCAAGTCCTGTTTCTCCCCCGTGGCGCAGTGGGAGGGAAACATACCTGCAGGGCAGCTAGCAGGATGCCACAGGCGATGGAAACGCTGATCTCATTGTAATAGTGCACCTTTTTCTTGCCCTTTGCAGTAAAGCCATGTACTTGTTTGAAAATGAGAATCAGAACAGGGGCATCGTCCAAGTAATCTTTAATCCAGTTGGTTCTGGTTGGGGAGGGAAGAGATAATGGAGAATATTGGCTGTTGTTCTCTTCACTGCCTTAGTTTACTTACGATGAAAATAAAAATGCATGAACTTGCTGTTTATATTTAGGTTGAAAAAAAAAAAGAACAGGATTTTTGTTTAGGTCTTGTTCATCTTCTGCTGCCCAAGAGCATTGAATTGATAAGGGCCCAGCATGCTGCAGCAGGAAGCTGCCATGGGGTACATGGAGGACCTCTGTAGCCCAGAAGGCACTGTACACAGCCCAGAGAAGCCTGCCAAGTGCTATCAAAGCAACACAAACCAAGTGCATCAGGAGGAGCCCCAAACTGAAACACTAATTTTGAGGAAGATTGGGAGAAATTTCTAGAAAGTGACTTCAAGTCCAGGCTCTGAAGACCTGGGGTGGGGCTGCGGGAAGATGGGGACGGGCACCCCAGGCCTTGAAGGTGGTGTTGCGATGGAGAATGCGCGGCAGGTCAGGCACTTTTCGGAGGGCTGGAGGCTGTGCTGCATGCCGGGGTAAGGGGGGGCTGGCCCAGGACACACCCATCTCCCAAGGGTCTGCCTTCATGGGGTGGGCGATGGAGATCTGTCACAGCTTCTGAGCAGAGGCCTCCAAGGATCAAATCTGGTTCAAAAAGAGGCGGATCCAGTGGTATGGGAGAGGTACCAATGACAAAGTCATCCCAGTGGGAGAGACACCACAGGAGACCCTGACAAAGGCCCTGCAGGAGGGTGGGCAAGGAAGGGCCAGGCTCCCCGAAAGCCTGGAAGGGGAGAGGCCGCAGAATGCAGCGCAGGAGCGGGCCAGGGGAGGCTAAGAAGACTGAGAGATTGAACTGCAATCCCAGGGAGAAGGCAGATGCTGCTCGCCCAGGTTGGGGAAAGGAAGGGAACTCCTGCGGGAACAGGAGACGGTTTACATGAGACACAAACACAGAATTGAAATTGGTGTTTTCTAGCTCAGAACATGCATTTTTTTTTTTCTGTTTCCCATTAACCTGTGCCATATATTTTAGTGGAAGTTTTATTTGCTCACAGGTATTCAAAGGAGCGACAGTCTTACAATCCTATTTTTGGAATTTTTCCTTAAGCTCTATCATGCCATTATTTAGCAATAAATGGTCACCGATCATTTCGTGTTTATCCCAGGTAAGTTTCTCTTCTTTAAACATACTAAACTCACGTGTGCATCTTTCTGGGATTCTTCTTACACTAGTGAGATCTATGTCACATCTCCAAAGCTGCCTTTACCATCCAGCCAGCTCAGTCCCGCTACTCGGTTGCCGAGTCTTTTCTCCCCACAGAGAGAATGGGAATGGGTTAGGAGGTCAGCTCAGGAGCTGCACTTGCAGGGCCACACTGGGCAGCTCCTTGGCCTCTCAGGATTCAGCTTCCTCATTCGCAATCGGACTATCGTTCTCCCACTTGTGGGGTTATTGTAACAGTGAGAGAAGTTGCATGTACACAAGGGGTCTCCAAAGAGTTCACAGATAATGCATATGATGAAAAGCTATGCATGGATTTCAAAATTCTTGGCACCAAAACAAACTTTTAATTTTCTGCGAAGATTTTGAAGTCTGCTTCTATGTAACAGTTTTTAACACCACAAAGATCAGAATTTCAAATCTTGGAAACATCAGTGCCGAAGAACCAGTTTTAATCCACTTTCCTGACTCACTCTCCAGCCCCACCCCCTGCAGGGCACACCTTTAGCACGTGGAGCAGACCATGGAGGTTGCTCTGATGTCCACCCAGCCACCCACCACCTAACGCTGCTGCCCCAAGGCAGGTGGATGTCATCAAGAGACTGCTGTGCATGTCCCAGACCAGGCTGTATTACATAAACTTGTATTCTCTATGATCTTTCCATGATTTAAAGTTGTAATTTTTGCGTTATTGCTTTGTATAAAATGTATATTGATAGAGGGAGAGAGAGAGAGGAAATAAGACAAATTTGCAAAATAGGAGGTGAAAATTAAATAAGCAATTTGCCTATATTCTAAGGCAGGTCAATTATTTTAGATTTTTGTGCTAATTTACTTTACCTAAGCATGCACTGATATTTGAATTTTGGTTCATTCAGTCGTATAAGAATTCATTATGACATATTAGAGCTAATACAAAGACAACAAAGAATTAATTCTGTTAAAAGAAGGACTTGTTGAAGCCCCCACTGTGGTACAGTGGGTTAAAACCCTGGCCTACAGCACTGGCATCCCATATGGGTGCCAGTTCTAGTCCGAGCTGCTCCACTTTGGATCCAGCTCCCTGCTAGTGCGCCTGGGAAAGCAGCGGAGGATGGCCCAAGTTCTTGGGCCCCTGCACCCATGTAGGAGACTCAGAAGAAGCTCCTGGCTCCTGGCTTCAGACAGGCTCAGCTCCAGAAGTTGTGGCCATTTGGGAAGTGAACCAGTGGATGGAAGACCTCTCTCTGCAACGGTCTTTCAAGTAAATAAAATAAATCTTTAAAAGAAGAAGGAGAAGGAGAAGAGGAGGAGGAGATAAAGAAGAAGAGGAAAAGAAGGACTTGCTAACAGTTGCACCTCTGATGGGGGTGAGGGCTCCTGCTGGTAAGATGGAGATGTAAGATTGGAAAGGGAAGCTGGATCTGGCCTGAGTCTCTAGCAACAGTTATGGGTTTCAGAGTGACTGAAACACTGACAAGGTGCATGACCATTTGCAGTTCCATTCAACAAGCATTTATTCTGTTATATACTGTGTATCAGCATGGCATGGGTGGTACAACGTGAGGCTTTTTAAATCCAACTCCCTGGACCCCAGAGTTTGTGTGTGTGTGTGTGTGCACATACACACATGTATATCTGTACGTATGGTTGCCAGAAAAAGTCTATAACTTAATAGGATTCTCAAGGGTAACTTGTTGTACAACACAGATTTCTAAAAAGTTGCCTATAAAATGAGAAAAAAAGGAAGCAAGAATTAAAGTGCTATGAACAATGGAAGTGGTACATGAGGTGCTCTGGGCACAGACGAGAGAGCAATTAGCTGTTGAGGAAAGTAAGGGGATGAATTGGATTCTGGAGGGACGGTTCATACACAGAGTAGGACTTCTCTCCAAGTGTAGACACGCAGCTTGACTTTTATCTACCCCAGTTTCTCCCATGAATATTCAATAAGGTTAGCAAATCCATCGTTAATACCTCGTCCTTGTTCCACAGGTTGGTAATAAGTTACAGTTCTGTAAAACATCAATTTTGAGAGGGTTTAAATATCTTAGGAGAAAATTGTACCCTGGGGTCAAATGAAGGAAAAAGAGCTTACCACTTCTCACTAAAACACTGGGCAGGAAGTCCTGCTGTGCCCCTAGGACTGCCATCCCATCATCCTGTCCCTCTCTCTAACACTGGGCAGGAAGTCCCGCTGTGCCCCCAGGACTGCCATCCCATCATCCTGTCCCTCTCTCTAACACTGGGCAGGAAGTCCCGCTGTGCCCCCAGGACTACCATCCTGTCTCCCTTTCTTAGTCACTGGGGAGTGTTGCATGGCAGGTGCCAGAACTGGCCACAGGAAACCTCTGCTGAGTCCTGGAGGAATGAGGTGCTCCACATTCCGAGAGCCAAGGACTCGCACTCCCTCCCTCAGGGCCTTCTGGGAGGCCAGAGCCAGTGGCTCCAAGCACCAACCCTCCTCACGCGCAGCCTCAGTGGAGCTTGGGCAGGGAAGGAGATCGCCTTTGAGGCCTCCCCCACCCCCAGTGAGAGGAGTCACACTAGGGTCTACCACACTGCTTTCCTGGGGACAGGGACACCCACGAAGCTACCAACACTTGCCCTAAATTTCTGCTTTTACTACAGTTGCCCTGAAACTGAAGTCAGCTTAGCAAAGTCGTTCGGAAGACCCGATCATTTTAACAAAACAATTTTCTTTGTTCAAGATCTTGAGAAGCATTTCACAGTCTTGTGTTCAGAAGAGTGAAAACTGAAGGATTGCTTCAAAGTCTTGTTGAGGAAGCAGTCACCAGGACCAGACCCTGTTTATCTACAAAACACGCACACGGCAAGACTCTAGCTTCATGATTCCTCCCAAAGTCAAAATCAAGCTTTTTTATATATGTAACATTTAAAACACAACCAGGAAACTGCAGGGACAGTGGTTGCACTTCAAGAAAACAAGCCAAACGCCCCCCCTTCCAACAGAGCTGTACCTCAGCTTCCTAAGGTCTGCCACCCATCGGTGCCCCATTCTTCTCATGTAGTTTATTTCCTCCTCTTCCTCGATGACTTCCCGGATCTGGTGTTTCACGGCTGGGTCCTTCACCACCACAAAGGTCCAGGGCTCTGTGTGGGCCCCACTTGGGGCTGTTCCTATTACACAGTAGATGAAACTCAGAAATGAAAATGGCAGGCAAGCACGGGTTATTAATCGAGAGGCAAATAGAATATTTCATCCTTGCTCAAATCAGTTTGATCATCTGGGAAACCAAGAGCTGGGCTGTGGGCTCTGGCATGCAGCTTCCGGTTCACTGTGTACCAAGTCTCACTTTGGGAGTCTCTGAACCAACGCATGAGGGCAAGGCCAGGACTTCTTGGGCTGTAGGACCAACTCCTGCTACTCAAGTCACGCGGGAGAAAATGTCCCTGAACAGCTGCACCATACCCAAGGGAAGAAACTCGGAGGGGAGATTCTGATACTCCAGATTCACCATTCGTTTTTATATTTTTGAAAAAAAAAAAGATAAAGTTGTGAAGCTCATTGGAAATGTTGAAATTTGTTTAGTGCTTATGTCAAAGCCCTGGGTATGGCTCTGTGGGATTTGTGGTCTTTCTGGGGACATGCAGAGTTGGGGAATGCTTGGCCCCAGGTGTTAATATGTGCAGCATTCCAAGGCAAAGCTCCATGGTGCACCCCTTGTCTAAGATGTTGAATTCCCTTTGAGATCCTAGAGAGGTCTTGGAACCACTTCTGACCCTGGTGTCACCCCTCAGTCCTAGAGAGGGCCCATTGTTCCTGGGTGTACCACAGAGACACACAGAAATTTAGCTGCAGGACATTTCTACAAGTGTAGAACTCAACTCGACTTTTGGCTGTTTCTTCCTTCCTGTTGAGTGGTTGAGTGGAATCAACTCTGCCTGCAGAAAGAATGAGGCCGATGAGCTCTTGTTGGGGTTTGCTGTCTCACACCACTCCTAATACCCACTGGCTTGTAAAACACAAGTCAAACTGGAAATTTTTACCCAGAGGGATTCTAGTTGACTTTATGTTCATTTTATTTGCTCACTTAATATTTGAATTTCTAAACTGAAGAAATAGATTTCTCTCAGTGTTTTCAGTTACTCCAAGTCTACTTTAAAAATCACAAGGGCACACTCATAGGTAGAGATATAGCTAAAGGGGAAATTTAGTAATTGCTGTTGCTTTGTTAAAGGACTCAGCAGTCTACTGCATTTTTATTCTTAACTGGACCCGATAGACATGCAATAATTTCTGCAAGTGAACATGAACGTGACTTATGTAGGAATAAGGTTCCAATCAGAAGAGACTCTCAAGTACAAATGTAAGGGCTTTCTCTTATAGCTCCTACTCCTTTTCTGTAATTCTATTTTTCTCCCCTCTGTGGAGATACTAATTTATGATGACAATGGGTTTGTCTTGTTTTGGTTCACATGGGGAAATTTTGCTAGTTCATTAGATTTCTATGCTGGAACATCTGGTATGTACATAAGAAATTTGTTTCCCAAAAGGTAAATGTTTGTGTGTGCTTGTGTATGAGTGTGTATGATTGTGTATGTGTGGTGTGTTTTAAGGGGAAAATGTTAAACAGATGTTTATCTTCCAATCATGTTCAGAAATCCTAGCTTTTAATAATACTTCATAAAATCAAAAAGTTTCAGAGATTTTGAAATATTAGTACATTTGCTTTCAAGAAATTTGTTAATAGTGAAAATGTAAAGTGGAAACCATTATGGGTCTGCCAGTCACTCAACATCTCAGTAAGACTTTATAGATAAATATATCACTCTTGGCCTTAGTCATTGTGTTTGAACTTCAACATTGCTCTCACTAGCAAGGCCCCTGACACTCTCAAAATCCCAGAGTGTAACTACAAACCTGCAGCTTTGATGACATTGTCAATGACTTCCATAGGGACCTGCTCATTGCTTATGAACCTGATCGAACGTCTCTTATTGAGAAGTTCATAAAATTCTTGGGACCTCTTAACCATTTCCTTCTCAGAATACCGGGTGTGGATGAATGGGATGTGTTCCACATTCTCCTCAGGCTCCTCCACATCATCGGCATCTAAAAACAAGACCAGGAAAGGTAGCAAATTAGATGAATTTTCTTGGTCATAGGTGGACACCAGGGGAGAAGGAGACAAAGTTCTGAAGTTGTAAATTTATATAAGCAAAACAAAAAGAAAAAATCCATTAAAATAAAAAAATAGATCTACAGAGTCCTGGCCACTGATCTTGACTATCCATCAAACTCCAGGCTTGTTATAAAGCAAAAAAAGAAAACTTACCTATAGAAATATAAGAAATTCAAATTTCTGCTGATGTTTGAGTAGGTTATTCAAAACAAGCTTGCATCCATTGAGAACCACTTAGACCATAAATGAGGTATGTTTTAAGATTTTTAAAAATCACTGAGCTGACAGCACAATAAAAAATTCCCAGACCATAACTGGACAGAAAATACGAAGTTACAGGTAAATAAGCAGAAAAGCTGTTTCCCCGATTGTGCTCATTGGCCAATCCCCACACATTTAATTTTCCACATTTTTGGGATTCAAAAGCAATGGAAATAAAACCCAGGCCCACACACCATGGGAAGCCTAATAAGCTAGGACCCCAAGACCCTTCTTAGGGAAAAAGAGAATCAAATGAATCAGTTCTCGAGGGTTTGCATTAGTTTTGTGGGTCCTTCCTCAAAGTTGTCCTTGGAATAAAATGGACTTGCCTGTTGACCTAGCAAAAGCAAATGCTACTGTACAAATAATTTTAAGTCTAATTATTACCAAGTGCAATCAGTCACATAAAGAAACAATCTCTTGAATGAAGAAGAGCTGAATCAATTTTTTCCGATCTATTCTTTTAACTTTTATTTAATGAATATAAATTTCCAAAGTACAGCTTATGGATTACAATGGCTTTTCCCCCCCATAACGTCCCTCCCACCCGCAACCCTCCCCTATCCCACTCCCTCTCCCCTTCCATTCACATCAAGATTCATTTTCAATTCTCTTTATATACAGAAGATCAATTTAGTATATATTAAGTAAAGATTTTAATAGTTTGCACCCACACAGAAACACAAAGTATAAAATACTGTTTGAGTACTAGTTATAGCATTAATTCACATTGTACAACACATTAAGGACAGAGATCCTACATGAGGAGTAAGTGCACAGTGACTCCTGTTGCTGACTTAACAAATTGACATTCTTGTTTATGGCGTCAGTAATCACCCGAGGCTCTTGTCATGAGTTGCCAAGGCTACGGAGGCCTTTTGAGTTCGCCGACTGATCATATTTAGACAAGGCCATGGTCAAAGTGGAAGTTCTCTCCTCCCTTCAGAGAAAGGTACCTCCTTCTTTGATGGCCTGTTCTTTCCGCTGAGATCTCACTCATGGAGATCTTTCATTTGGTTTTTTTTTTTTTTTTTTATGCCAGAGTGTCTTGGCTTTCCATGCCTAAAATACTCTCATGGGCTCTTCTGCCAGATCCGAATACCTTAAGGGCTGATTCTGAGGCCAGACTGCTGTTTAGGACATCTGCCATTCTATGAGTCTGCTGTGCATCCCGCTTCCCATGTTGGATAGTTCACTCCCTTTTTTATTCTATCAGTTAGTATTAGCAGACACTAGTCTTGTTTATGTGACCTCTTTGACTTTTAGTCCTATCAGTGTGATCAATTGTAAACTGAAACTGATCACTGGGACTAGTGAGATGGCATTGGTACATGCCACCTTGATGGGATTGAATTGGAATCCCCTGGCAAGTTTCTAACTCCGCCATTAGGGGTAAGTCCGATTGAGCATGTCCCAAATTGTACATCTCCTCCCTCTCTTATTCCCACTCTTATATTTAACAGTGATCACTTTTCAGTTAAATTTCAACACCTAAGAATAATTGTGTATTAATTACAGAGTTCAATCAATAGTATTAAGTAGAACAAAAAAATACTAAAAGGGATAAAGTATTAAGTTAGTTGTTCATCAACAGTCAGGACAAGGGCTGATCAAGTCACTGTCTCTCATAGTGTCCATTTCACTTCAACAGGTTTCCTTTTTGGTGCTTGGTTAGTTGTCATCGATCAGGGAGAACATATGATATTTGTCCCTTTGGGACTGGCTTATTTCACTCAGCATGATGTTTTCCAGATTCCTCCATTTTGTTGCAAATGACCGGATTTCATTGTTTTTTTACTGCTGTATAGTAGAGCCGAATCAATTTTTAAAAATACAGACAGATGCTCAATGATTCCAAATATTGAAATTATTGACAAACTAATACAAGTCTGTAGGACATAAGAAAGGACAAAAGATGACATATAAAATATGAGAAAACAGAATTTCTCAAACTGAAAAATAATATAATTAAGAACTTAATGAATGGGTTTACCAGCAGGTTAGACTACATAATGAGAGAATCAAGGAACCAGGAGATAAGTCAGAAGAAAATACCTGGGGGACACCAAAATATGGAAGGCATAGAAGAAAGAGCAAGAAAAAATAGTGTAGAGTGAGAATGTCTGACAGACATTTGTGCATAGTCAACAAAGGAGGCAAGAAAGAGGAAGTGGCAGAGACAATACTTGAAAAGATAGTGCCTGAGATTTTCCCAGAACTGATGAAAAATATCAAATCTACAGATTTAAGGTGAATAGAAATTCTGAGTATTTTAAAAAGAAGCCCATACTTTTATAATCAACTGTGAAATTTTAGAGAAAAAAATCTCTAAAAGAACAAGAATATCATCATATTCTTAGAATTGTATCTACAAACTACATTGAATCTGCTCTCTTTGTATTAATATACCATTAATGTGAAAATATCAGATGGTAAAAACAAAGAGCGAGCAAAAATAACTGAATTCCTAACATGAAAAATAATAAAATTGCACTGAGTATAAATGGATTAAATGTTTCTGTAAAAATCAATTTTTTTTCTGTTCAAAAGAGTATTTATAAGAGGCACATCTAAAACATAAGTATATAGAAAGGTTGAAAATTATCATGCATGTGGCAGAAAAGTTCCACAATATATCAGATAACTATAATATATCAGATGAAAGAAAAATCAAGAACCATAACATTTATAGCAAAACATTTTATAACAAAATTTAATTTTCTGGGAAAACACACTTTTAAATGCTATACACTTATGTCATAGGAACTCAAGACAGACTTTTAATCTCAGGGGAAGGTCTTACTACATCTATCCCAGTAATGATAGAATAAGCAGAAGGAAGAAAATCAACAACTATACAGATGATATGAGCAAGACAATCGTAAAAAGGAACCAAATGGAAACATAGAACTACAGAAAACACATCCTTTTTTAAGTACCTGGCTCCTGCCATCGGGTCAGCGCGGTGCGCCGGCCGCGGCGGCCATTGGAGGGTGAACCAATGGAAAAGGAAGACCTTTCTCTCTGTCTCTCTCTCTCATTGTCCACACTGCCTGTCAAAAAAAAAAAAATCCTTTTTAAGTAGACTCAAAACATTCATAAAAATTGGCCATCCATTGGGCCAGAAAATAACTCAAGACATTTTAAAGTTTCGATAGATAATGATCTCTGATATTAATACAATTAATCTAGAAATAAGCAATAAAAAGATAACAGCAAAATTCAAGAAGCTACCTTATTGGAATTCGGAAACACTTCAAAATGAAAATAAGAAGTTACTACATACTGAAAAAAATCTGTTCAGTAACACAATGTACTGTGTTTAGAAAGAGAGCTTTAAACAGATGCATTAGATAGGAAGAAACCCTAAAAATTAATGAACTAAAAATCCATTTCAAGAAGATTTTTAGAAAGAGCAGCCAAATAAAACCAAAGATGGTAGGAAGAGGAAAATGCTAAATATAGCACATTAAGGAAAAGGACAAGAAGCATCCATTATGGAGAAACATCAAAACCAAGCATAGTTCTCTGAAAATACTGATTAAATTCACACCGGGAAAGATTGATTGGGGGAAAATTAAATCACAACTAAAATATATCAGGAACAAAAACAAGGAGGTATTACTACAGATACTACTGACATTTAAGCAATATTATGAGGACATAATTATGACTGTTAAACAATTGTATGAGGACGTTATTATGACAGTGTGTTAGATTATTTGCATAAAATGGATAAATTTCCAGAAAATATAACCTGTCAAAATGAATTTCAAAATAGAAAACTGAAAGGTCCTTAAATAAATTGAAATAGTAGGTAAGGATCTTCCTGGAAAAGAAGCAAGCTCTAGGCCCAGATGCTTCATAAGGAAGTTCTACCAAAGGTTGATAGATCCTATTGTTGAACTCTCCCAAACTCTTCCCAGCGACAGAAAACAAAGTGACACCCCCAACTCAATTTATGTGACTATCACAACCTTAGTACCAAAACATGACTAGGGCATTAAAAGAAAGAACAATTACAGTTTCAATGATCTCACAAATATAGACAGAAAAATCCTAAGCAAAATATTACTAAACAGAATCCAGTAATACTTACATGTAAGACACAATACTTTTTGACCAAATTGGGATTATCCCAAGAATGCAAGATTAATTTAACATTAACATTAGAAATTTAATGCTAGAAAAATAATCATTTTTTTTCAGATTAACAAGCTAAAGATCACACACTATAAAAGCATTCCAATGCAGAAAAAAGTATTTGACAAAATTTTACATTCATCTCTTAGTAGAACCAGAGGTTTTAAGCCTAACTACGTGAGCTAAAATCCCCACAGCCAGCTTAGTCAATGGTAAAACACGGAAAACCAGAGACTGACAAAAACAAGGATGTTGAATGTTATCACCACAATTCTAAACTACAAAGACTAATTTTTAAGAAAGAAAGGTAAGAGAATATCTTCATGACTTTAAAGTAGATTTTTTAATCAACATACAAAAATATTAATCATTAAAAAACTGTGAAATGAAACTACATAAAATTCACCATTACGACCACTTGCTTCTGCCTCTTTCTCCTGACCAGAGAGTTCTGGAAGCTTATCATCTGTGGCTCAAGATCTTACAGAAGATGAAGACACAAAGAAGATTTAATAATTGAAGCAAAAAATGGCAAAAATGACAGGGAAGAAAATTGACTCCCAGATACAGCAGAAAACAAAAAGGAAGATGTGTCCAGTGCACCCAAAGCCTCAACAACCATCTTATTTTACAAAATTTCTCAACAGATAGCATAGTGAGGTTCTTGTTTACAAACAAGGACCTAGAAGACATTATTGTTAAATACCCAGGTGCCTCACAATATTCTCAAAATTGTTACTATATATATATCCAAAATCTCACATCTCTTTCTCAAAACTGTGTTCATTTCTTTCAAACGCATGAATAGACATATCTTTGGGTTGAATTAGAAAGATTCTAACAAATTGAAAGATGCTGTCTTCAGTCAAAGTTAAAATTACTGAAAAGGAAAATGTCTTGGATGGAGAAAATACATATACTCCTTGCATGTCTTAAGCTGATCTTGGACTTCTGTTTGTTGTTGAACTTCAGGAGGCAATCCAGGAGGCAAAAGTTACCAAAACGAGACCAGTAGAGAAAATAGATCTCAGTATATTAAATCAGAAGGAATTGACATGAGCTGGGTTTATTTTTAGGGAACTTTGAGTCAGATAAAGAAAGTTTCACTGAGCAGACTGCCCAGCAAATAGACTCTGAAAGTAGCAGTGAGATCACATGAGTAGATGGCTCTTTTATACATCAATTCAGTCTTTATTAAACCTGCTCTAATAGTTCTCAGCCTTGGGAAATGGTGCAGAGAAGTCGTCACGGTAGGAGGTAAGTCCTACTCAGATAAGAACAGACAACAAAATCTGCCTTGCTACAAGCGCTCAGCACTCACTTTCCAAAGCAGCAAATTTGGAAGTTTACAAACCATCACAATGTGCATGTTTTATCTGAATCATTGTTGTACTATCTGAACACATGTCTTCTAGAGATTACAATGTAAACTAAATGTAGCATTGTCATGATCTTGATAACCTCTCATTCACAACCTCTCTTGGATCCCTTGTGTGTTTGCCTGATAAGTGCATCCCAGGTCTTTCACTGTGTGAGAGAAGATAATTATTTGTTACTGTCTTCTCTGAGTAGATACAGGTCTTTTATTCACACAGATTCATCTATGTTGTGCCTGTGGTTATGGTTGTTGTAACAGCAGCTGTGGCGTCTTTTGAAGGACTTCCACTTCCAGCAATGGTTAATTATAGATTATCTGCCAACTCTTCAAGCTAAAGAAACTAAAATCCTTAATAAAATATACTTTAAGACATTTTCTTCTATGCATCAAAGAACTCATCTGTAACTAAAGGAAATAGCAGTAAAAATCTAGGTGAAAGTTAGTACCCATAGAGATAGACCAGCACTCAAATGCTGGGAGAACATTTTCCAGTGACCAAGCAACAACTGTGGGGCTGAGCTGAGATAAGGAATTGTGAAAAAGGCAAGACCCCAGCTCCACCCAGGGCTGTGGTGGGAGCCTGATAGCCCTGCACTTTGGATTGGGACCTGAAAGGGCTCCATTCCTTTAGTAAGTAAGCAGTCCTGGTATGAACTATGAACTTGTAGCCTAAGGTAGTATCACCTGAGTGACCTAAGGAACCACAGTCCTTGACCTTAGATGAAAGTGAGCCCAGGCTATTAGCATCACACAGCTGGAAGGCACCAAAGTGATTTTTTCCCTAGAAGTAAGTGCCAGCATCCTAGACCATAAAAAGGTTTTTTTTTTTTTTTTTTTTTTTTACAAATCCATTTTTATTTATTTACTTTTCAATAGTTTAAATCCTTGAGGGGTACAGCATCACACGGATTCTGTGTCCAATGGCCTTCACAGGAAGGTTGCTTCGGAATTTGGCACGAACCATGCCACTGTTTCCGTGAGCACGAGTTACCTTTCCCCAGATTACTCTGGTTTTGTTAGGTTTGCCGCCAGGAGTCACTGTGTTGTTCTTTGCTTTGTACACATAAGCACACCTCTTGCCCAAGTAGAATTCAGTTTCATCCCGAGCATAAACACCTTCAATTTTAAGCAGTGCCGTGTGTTCCCTTTGGTTCCGGAGACCTCGCTTATAGCCAGCAAAAATGGCCTTGCACCACAGTCTTCCAGACATAGCTGCCTTCTAGAAGTCCTGCTCCCTGCAGGCCTCCACAGGCTCCAAGATGGCGGAAAGAGCATAAAAAGGTTTTAAGAATAATGTTCCCAAAGAATGACTACCATACAATTAAAGATAACAATACATTCAAGAAAGCAGGAATTTGATGCTTGTGCTGTGGCACAGCAGGTTAAAGCCCTAGTCTGCAGCTCCGGCATCATGTGTGGGCGCCAATTCAGGTCCCAGCCACTCCACTTTCGATCTAGCTCCTTGTTAATGTGCCTGGGAAAGCATCAGAAGATATGCTGAATGCTTGGGCCCCTGCACCCGTGTGGGGGACCTGGATGAAGCTCCTGGCTTCTGATCGGCTCTCTCTGTCTCCACTTCTCTCTGTAACTCTGTCTTTCAAATAAATAAAATAAATCTTAAAAAGAAAAGAAAACAAGAAGTCATGAATAAGACCCGCCAGACCACAGGCATCAGAAACAGACTCACAGAGACTTACAACGGGAATCATCAGACACAGATCATGAAAAACTATGCTCACTATGTTCAAAGAAATAAAAGACAAACGTGACAATCTTGGTAGAAAAAAGAACCAAACATCTTTTAGAAATAAGAACTATAATAAATATTCTATCAATAGTAGATACAGCTGAAGAGAAAATTAATCAGGAGGAAGACAGTTTTTCATTACTTAATTAAAAATGTAGAGAAGGCAGAAAGATAGCAGATTTGAACAAGAAACTGAAAGACATGAGAAGAGGCAATGAGAATGTCTAACCATTTAGTTGGAGTCCTGGAAGGAGAGGGGAGAGAGAGAATTGGGTAGAGATACTCTTTCAAGAGAGAAATTTTCCCCAAATTGATGAAAGACATCAATTCTCAGATTCTAAAACTCAGCATGATGTAGAAAAATTGAGAGCTGGTGCTCTGGTGTAGTAGGTTAAGCCTCTGCCTGCAGCACCAGTATCCCTTACGGGTGCGGGTTCAAGTCCTGGCTGCTGCACTTCCAATCCAGCTTCCTGCTAATGGCCTGGGAAAGCAGTGGAAGATGGCCCAAGTGCTTAGGCCCCAGCATCCACATGGGAGACCCAGAAGAAGCTCCTGGTTCCTGGCTTTGGATTGGCCCAGCTCTGGCTGTTGCAACCACTTGGGAAGTGAACCAGGGATGGAAGGCCTCTCTCTCTTTGTCTCTCTTCTCTCTCTATCTGTAACTCTGCCTCTAAAATAAAGAAATAAATCTTCTTTAAAGATTTGAATATAGGTTAATTTCATGTCTCTACTTGGGTTTCCAGGAAGTAGACTCAGACTAAGTCTAGTGTGGGCTTGTTTTTAGG